CACTCTCTCCGACAACGACAGTGGCCAGCGCCCAGCAGTGACCCGAGGTATCTCCTCCTCTCAGGCCGTGGCTTGCCTGGGTCTTTCTCAGAAGCCAGAGGGGGTTGGTGTATGGGCTTCAGTTGAATCAGTCAACTGTTAAATGTGTCGGCAGCCGGGGAGATTTCGGCCAAGATGGGAGTGAAGGGCCAAGGCTACAGTCCAAAATTTCCTCTCAATTGATTCTCAACATCATAGTCCATTACACGGTCAAATAAAAAGATGAGTGCTAAAAATCCCTCCTACAATTATTTAGCAAAAAATATAAATTGAAACATTTGAAAAGATAATTAAGTGGTTTAATTTCTTTTGCTCTTGTTAAGTGTGTGTAATTTTAACATTGAACAACGGACTTATGAAATCTGATCACTCAAGTACGTCAGACGAGCACACGCACTCATACACTGGTCGAGCACACACACTCGCGCCACCGGGTCATGTCATATGATTGTGGTGATTAATAAGCTCCAATATAAATGTTAATACCGCACATTCTTGACTTCATACGAGTTCTTGCGTGCTCTTACCCTTCCTAGTGCATCACACTCCGACCTCGGGGGAAGAGTCACCCGTTCAAAAGTTTTTACTTGCGGGTTCGAACTACTAACCTCGGGCGGCGAGTTAAACTCTTGTTAAGGGCTTAGAGCCACGCTCCTCTGAGCAATTTTGTCACTTAATTGACATTCACATTTCTCGAAAAGGTTTATATACTTTAGTTCTTTGGGGTTGGATTATCCGTTCGAGTGAGGAGTCTGACTCACTTACTCGTGGATTCAATCTTTCTTTCGGAGACTGGGTTGAGGTCTAACTTGGGAACTTGATGTCACTCTTTTCAAGTAGTGAGTTCGACTCACTTACACACTGAACCGTGGTTCGACACCATGCCAGATGCTCTATTCTACAATAGTTGCTTTTATGTGTAGGTACGACTAAACGAAGAAGAGCCTGATGAGTCCGTGCCCGACGAGAAGAACGGTTCTAGCCATCCTCTTCGCAGATGGTGAGCATTGCAATAAAGGCTGGAGATTTCACCCCTTACTTCATCTTGGGGGCATCAGGTGTACTCTTTTTCCCTTCATCAGGATTTTTTTTCATTGGGCTTTTCCCTAATGAAGGTTTTTAACGAGGCATCTCCCCAACATGGACAAGGGCGGAGATCTTCTAGTCTCGGAGAAGAACAACTGACTTGGACTACTCCCTCTTAGCCGAGTCTACTACTCGACTAAGGGAGTGGGGGACTCGTGATGGAGTTATGGGACTAGGCTCAGAGCCGAATCATTATTATCGGTAACAGTAACATAAACTTTAAGGTGAATAGTACTAGTAATAGTAAGAGGAAAAACCCTATGGCGGTATGGCGTCTACGGCGGTGGAGCCACCTCCGCCACCAAACCCTTGGGCACGGAAGTATTTTGCAGAAATGGTAGGCGGACAAGATCATCTTCGTGCTAAACAATCTCGTTACAAAGGAATGCCTTCGATTGATTTCTCTGAGGGAGACATCAAAACTCTTGCGGAAAAGCATAATAAGGTTTTCTTCAAAGGAAAACCTTCGCTTTTAATTTTACGTAAATCGTTTGAGATCATAGGTTTTAAAGGCTCTTTTCATCTTGGTGTTTTGGATAACAAGCATGTTCTAATTCGGTTTACTATGGAGGAGGATTTCTTACATTGCTGGACTCGGCAATCATGGATTATACAAGGACACGTGATGCGGGTAACCAAATGGACCCCAGAGTTTCATCCTAACGTCGAATCTCCGTTGGTGCCGGTGTGGATTGCTATGGAAGGGCTTCCTATACATCTTCAGGATAAAAGAGCGCTTTGGGAGATTGCAGGTTTGGTTTTGTAAACCTCTAAAAATTGACACGACCACTGTGAATCTGTCTAGACCTTCAGTTGCTCGTGTATACGTGGAAATCGACCTTACTAAGTATTTGCTTCAGAATGTATGGATAGGCGTTGGTTCTTACGGCTTTTCACAGAATATCATCTATGAGAATCGACCGGATTATTGTACATCAATGGGGATGGTTCTTACGGCTTGTCACACCTGGGTTTTGCAGATGACCTGTTGGTTTTTCTCAATGGGATGCTAGGTCTCTATTGAATTTTAAGCATTTTCTTGAGTGTTATCAGGAGGCATCAGGACAATCAGTTAATCTTGAGAAAAGCTCTTTTTTTGTGTGGAAAAATTACTGCTGTCAGACAGGTTAATATAAAGAACCTTCTGGGAATGAAAATGTCTTCTCTCCCTTTGAAATATCTTGGTGTAAATCTGCATAAGGGAATAATAGATTTCAGTATTGTGCCCATATTATCAATCAATTTGAGAGCAAGCTTACCCCATGGAAGCAAAAGAATCTATCTCAAGGGGGTAGACTTATTCTTATAAAGCATGTTCTCAATTCTATACCCTTACATGTTCTTGCTGTGGACACTTTACCTAAAAAGGTTATTAAGGTTTTAAATGGTAAAATGGCTGCTTTTTTCTGGGGGTCATCGGATAATAAAAGAAAGTATCACTGGATTGGCTGGTCTAGTCTGTGCCTTCCTACCAAGGAAGGGGGGCTGGGAGTAAGATCTTTAAGTGATATAGAGAAGGTTTTCTCTATTAAACTTTGGTGGAAGTGGAAGACTTGTAATTCTATATGGACAGACTTCATTAGAGCAAGATACAATAGAGAAGGATCTATGATACCTAAAGTAACCGATTCAGCTACTTGGAGAAGAATTTGCTCTATTGATGAGTTGGCTTCCACATTATGTACACTCAGCCCTTCTGGACATATCACCTGGAATGAAGAAGACAATGGACAATTCACTTTTAGGTCAGCTTTTGAGGAAGTAAGAGAACAATCAACACCCTCCTTTTCATTTCAGCATATTTGGCATGACAGACAACAATAGATCAAAATTTTTCAATGAAAAGTGGTAAAAGGTATTCTTCCTTTTACTCACAATTTAGCTAGATTTAGTATGGTTTTGCAACCATCCCGATGTCCATTATGTAAGGCTCATAGTGACTCTCAAAACCATGTTTTACTTAAGTGTCCAATTGTTTGGCCTGTATGGCAGTATTTTATGGGGATCTTGGGTAGATCCTTTAATCATCAAACTATCACACAAGTCTTTAGAGCATGGTGGATATCTTTAAGCACAATTTATCAGGTATAATTAGCTGGCAAATATGGAAGATCTATTCTAATCAGATATGGGGGGATGGTGGCCCAATTCCAACATCTGAACAAATCATTTTTCAGATCAAAATATATACTCAGAACTGGACAACGAGCTTTCCTAAGTTGAAAATTCGTTCTATCGGGTCTATATTGTTTGAAGAACATTTGATTCCCAGTAACTTTAAGCTTTCTGAATCTAGGGTTCAGATTATTCGGTGGAGAAAGCCTAAAACTAATAACAAGCTTAGCATAGATGCAAAGTTCTTATCTGATAGAGCCTTTGGTGGAGCAATCATGCGATACTCTAGCGGAATCTTGATGGGAGCTATTGCCTTTCCTCTTTGAGCTTTATCACCGGCGGATACTGAACTACAGGCGATCGTTTATGCGATTCGTTGGGCGGTGGACAACGACTTTGTTGACTTTCAGGTAGAATCTGCTTGTTCCCTAGCTTTGGCTTATCTTACAGGTAGAGAAACGAGAAGATGGATGGAGCTTATTCAGGAAACGATGCTGATGAAGTCTACAAATCATTTTGATTTCGGACATACGTACAGGGACATTTCTCTAGCCCAAATCAGTTACCTATCTTTGTTAAACGAGCTTATTTAATGGATTTTTTTGGTATTCCATCTTTTAGATATTAATTGGCATGTTGATTTTCGAAGAGGTATGCCTCTTCTGAGAGGTTTTGGTTTGGTCCCCCTCTTTATGTACTTTATCTATTCTAATAAAATTTGGTAAATGTTCCCCGGCATTTATCCCACTGATTTTGGTGCTTGGCCTTCCGGGTTTAAAAAAAAAGAAGGCCCATAGCCTAATCGGCCCAAGCCCCTAACTTGTACCCGTGGATCCAAATCCACAACCTGGAGCCTACCTACCAGCCCAGCAGGGAACCTGCCAGTCCGGTCGACCTCTCAGCCCGGAAGAGTAACGGTCAAGCAATTAATGCGCTGTTTAATTATGTATTTAATTCCGTATTAATGTTGTAATTATTTAGTCATTATTGCCGGTAGCGGTTTCAATTTCTATACGCCTATAAAAGGCGGGGGTGTAATTCAGATTAGGGAAACGATTTCTATATGCTATTTCTTGCAACTAAACTTCTTGAACACTTTCCATTCTCGTACTCCCTTCGTTCCTAAAAATTCTTCCCGGTTTGACTTGGCACGCTTATTAAGAAAGTGGAATAAAGTGGAAATGTATGGTTTTGGTTGTGTAAGAAAAAGGTAAAATGAATGTGAGCCACACAAATTGTCCAAAATGGGAAAGTGAGAAGTATTTTTGGGAACAGCCCAAAAAGGAAAGTGGGAAGTATTTTTGGGAACGGAGGAAGTATTATTTTCCCAATTCCTGGTTGGGTGTCGTACGTAGCTTTCCTAAAAGCGTACGAACGTCCTATTTTGGACCAACAATACTTATAATTGTTCGGACGAAAAATAGACATACCCTATGAAAGATGATTAAATTGGAGTTAACATTATTTTTAAGTGTAACTATTTGTCGTACTTGTAGGAGTCGTAGCATTTATCAGACGGAATAGTACACATTTTGTAAACGTAATGTGTAGTGTGTACACCCTCTAATTGTGCATTTACATATGCAATTCGTTCTGAAAACAATTATTTTGTACTAAGATATTTTTACTTGGTTTGTTTTCAGTATAAGATCAAACCAAATCAGAGCAGACCAGATAAAACATGAATATTTATAAAATATACAAAAATCAAACATTACCGGATGAGATAGGACCGCATTACATGAGAAAATTTGTTAAAAACATCCTACTACAGTAGTATTTAGGTTCCAAGTGGGTCCGGTCCGGTCATGGAGGGGCTCACTCCATCAGTTTGTCACTCATCAGTTGGTCGAAGATAGTAAAAAAATCACATCTTTAATTATTTACAAATTACAATGTCCGGAGTGGTTCAGTGGCTCCCTTGTGTACGTAATGTCTGTCCTCAACACTGGGACGCATTCATTCTACTGAAATTCATATTCCGGGGTTAATCGGTATTTATCGGTAACATTTCAAACTTCCAGGTAAATCCATTCTTTCCGTTGTTTCGAGCTTTCTTAGGGAATGTGGAAGAAATTCAAGAAAGATTGACGACAAATAGCGTGTCATACTTTTCATCTTGACATCCTTTTTTAATCGTGTTTTTACTTTCTTTATTCATCATAAAGGTTTCACGGAAGGATTTTGCAACATGAAAAACGTGGGAAAAATGGGAGTTCATTATCTGCACAAATTGAGTGCTGAATGTATACCAAAAGATTTGATAGAGAAGGGGCAAAAGCGTGTTATTGAGGCATCTCTCACGCTTATCCGAGAGCGGGCAAAGCTAAAGGTATGTGTCCGTGTGCGTGGAGAGGGGGGGGGGGGGGGGGGGGGGGGTCTAACCGTTAGAAATCGTTCTATGAGTCGTCTGATAGTTTGGTTTTCTTTCATTGCTTCTAAATCCCAATTTATTGGGTAAATGGTGGTTAATAACAGTAAAAATGATATTTTAACATATCAGGCTTCATTAGCAAAGCAATTTGTTGGCATTGTTGTTTTTTCCATGTTGCTGAAGGAATATAATCAACACCCGCCGGATATATCTTCTAGTCATCAGATAAATATATTGCTCTAGTCTGAGTGTTGTGACATTCACATCTTAGGCCATATAAACAGACATATATTTGGCTTTGAGTTACTCCTCTTCCCATTAAGATGAAATCCAAGTTTCTATACTCAGTAAAATGATGTAGTTTTCAACATGGTATATAGTATGCCCGACGATTATATTACACAAAGGAATTATTCTTGTTTTTTTTGTTTTTTCCTGAAATTTGCTATTTTGTTTACAGGGAGAACTTCTCCGCGCTCTAGGGGGAGTGGTAGCATCACCAACTCTTCTAGGGGTTCCTCTTGGGCATAACTCTTCATTTCTTCAAGGGCCTGCATTTGCTCCTCCCCGCATTCGAGAGGCTATATGGTGTGGCAGCACAAACTCTACAACTGAAGAAGGTGGCGAATCCAGTGTCTCCTAATGGTCATCTGATCTCACTAGGTTAAGTTTCAGGCATCCATTTTATTAAAAAGAGCTTCACTGAATGATGCATTAATGCAGGCAAAGACTTGAGTGATCCGCGTATCTTGACTGATGCTGGCGATGTGCCGGTACAAGAGTTACGAGACTGTGGGGTAGACGATGATGGATTAATGGATATTATCAGTAAATCTGTCAAGCTAGTGATGGACGAGGTGAGTGATATTTTTTCGCGATATTTTTTACTAGTCACATATTATTGGCAGAATCGTCCTGTTTTGCTGATAGCCAGAGCATGCTGAATCCCTCTATTTGTTAATTTTATTAAGTAATAAACTACTGCTTTTTGTATAGCTTTTAACATACAATGTAGCAATTTCTAAAACTGTTATAATACTTAAATAGAGAAATGTTTTTTTCTAGGATATTAGTAAAGTAGAACTTGTGGACAAAATGTTACTACACGGTTATTACAATAATACCAGGGCCAGTAAATTGTATGTTACCAAGGTCATTGCAGTCACAACTAATATGACATTATGGTCATTGCTTATTTAAAGTCACATTATTGTCCATTACTTTTATTTTTGTCATATATTTGTCAATATTTTTTAAGAACTTTGTCATAACTCATAATTACTCCTCTCATAGATACAACTTTCTTACAGATTTAATTTCTTATTTACTATCAAGCTTTCCTGCACTCTCCAGATCAGACATAATAAAAAAGAGAGGGACAAATGAGTTTTGGCATTATGTACATTCTTTAATTTTTTGCTGTTAATATCCTGACTTGCATACTTCTTTTTGTCTACAGGTTCCACTGTGCCCCTTAGTCTTGGGGGGCGATCACTCAATATCATATCCTGTTGTGAGAGCTGTGTCTGAGAAGCTGGGAGGACAAGTAGATATCCTTCACTTGGATGCTCACCCTGATAACTACCATGCCTTTGAAGGAAACAAATACTCGCATGCCTCTAGTTTTGCTAGAATAATGGAAGGTGGTTATGCCAGGCGGCTCTTGCAAGTAAAGTTTCTATTTCTAAACTGCAGCATCTGTAGTCTTTTTTTTACGATGTACTCTAATAAAAAGGGAGGAAGATAGAGAGGAAATCTGGAAGGAAATTTCTGGGAAAAGTATAAGATAAGCTCAAACTTTATAACATTATTTTAGATATTTATTCGAACTCCAAAATCATTTTGTTCATTTATTTATACAAAGTATTATCTATTATTGTCAAAACTGAGAAATCTTAATATATGTAAAAAACGAAATTAAATGCAATTTGTATTTCATTTTCCTTTGCACTTTTCAAGGTAAACCAAACATAAACGTGATAAATATTAAATAGTGCATGTAAAGCCAAAGTACAGAGCACATTGTGTGGTTACATGCAGTAGTTGCATTTGAAAGAAAGAATTGATACTTTTACTTGCTGGATTCATTTAAAAGTTATTGAATTCGGCAATGTTTAGATCATGGAACATGCTAGGGAATGGGAAGATAGGCTAACGAAAGTTATTATCATATGCTTGGTTTTACCTCTGAATATGCAAAGGAAAATGGAATATTATTAATTTTTCAAAATTTCTTACATGTATTTAGATATCATAGTATAAAAAGAATCTACACAAACATTTAATTTTCCTCAAATATTTTTATGTTCTCCTACGTTTCCTCCATATTTCTTTCCCTAGCATTTTCCTTACCAAACGGACTCTTCATGAATTTCTCAATTTCCTAGAATAGCTTAAATTTTGGCTTGCAATAGATTCCAGGACATGATATATGAACATTATCAGATCAGGATTCAGGACATATCACTAAAGAAATTAACCCTAGCACACCTGATGTGTCTCTCTGAAGTTCATAATCTTGTTACACAGGTTGGGATTAGATCAATCTCAAAGGAAGGCCGTGAACAAGCTAAAAAATTTGGCACTGAGCTATATGAAATGAGGACATTTTCCAGAGACCGCCAATATCTAGAAAACCTGGTTGGTCTTCATTCGGCCTTTACATCTCCTTCTCTCACACACACATGCGTGAACTCAAATATGTTGTTGGACCTATTTAAAACTTGTAAATCTTTTTAAGTGGGACTAGGTTAATGATGGGTTTCCTATAATTTTACTAAAATAAACTTATGGACCAAAATATGACTACATGCTCTGTGCTATATAATATTGAACATCATTTTGGTCACACTACAGTCTTGCAAAAATGCCACCATGGTCAGTGGGTCACTCACTCACTCCGTATTAAGAGTCCAAACTTTTATTTTAGTTAATACATTTTCATCATTTCTTATATAATACTTATTATGGTTCTTGATGCTTTTTCGTCACCAGAAACTAGGTGAGGGGGTGAAGGGTGTGTATGTGTCTGTTGATATAGACTCTCTTGACCCTGCATTTGCTCCGGGTGTATCTCACATAGAGCCAGGCGGTCTCTCTTTCCGAGACGTCCTCAACATACTCCACAATCTTCAAGGTGACATTGTGGGTGCTGATGTCGTTGAATTCAACCCACAGCGTGACACTGTTGATGGGATGACCGCTATGGTTGCTGCAAAGCTAGTTAGAGAACTGGCTGCTAAGATATCGAAGTGACACAAGTAACAATCTACCCTTTTGCTAGTTGCTAGTATTAAGTTTATGCTTTTAGTCTAATAATAATGGTCATGTTTTAGTTTCCAACAAACTCATTCAGTTTAACTTTCAAGGTACATTCGATTTAGTGCACTTTTGGCCTATGTGATGAATAAAACATACTGTAGCTCTAGCTTCTTCATATTGAATTTAGCCTTTGTTTGGTCGCGAAGAATTACTAACGAAAATGCATTCCTTCTCAACTTTTATTCCTTCATTCTCCATTTCTCTCATACGAAACAACACACAAAATCTGTCTATTTCTCTCTTCTACATCTGCCCCTCATTTTTTCTCATCTCTCTGTCTTTTTTAAACCAAACCAAACCTAGTGTTTATGATGCATATTACTAGCTAAAGTATTTCAAAGATTTCTGTCAAAAAAAGGCACTAGTCACAAAAGTAGAGTGTAACTTAGTCTTGGAAAAATTAACTCCTACTAGTATCAATGTGTCGTTTGCTGAAAACTTATCACTATGGGAGCTTAGTTGTAACTTTCATAAACTTTGAGGCTCAATGCTATTATAACCAAACCCTCAGGGACGCATATGTAAACTAACCCTTTTTTGCAATAAACTCATTTCAGTTTCAAACTTTTTCATGCTACACTTGATTTTTTTACATCTTTTTCTTCCTATGGGATGAATAGCAACATACTCTTCAGCTATAAGTCTCAACTGTTTCCTCCCGTTTTTCTAGCACTATACCTTTGTACCGCTTAGCACAAAAGATGAACAATAGAAGATCCAGCGCAACCACTGCAGCAGACAGGAAGAAAAATCTGTCCAGGTGGCCATCGTTTAGATTCGGCGGGACCCACCCTGGCTTCCCATCCCTAGCCGTGATCTTCATCACAGTAGTCAGTAAAATACTGCACAGGTAACTACCTAAGGCGGAAGAGGACATAGACAAGCCGAGCCCCATACTCTTGAGACTGTCTGGGATCTGTGATGCAAAGAATTCCCACTGTGCGACGTAAATGAACGCTTCGGCTATTCCCACAAGAACATACTGTGGGGTTTGCCAGAAAATGCTTAGCGAACTCGTCTCTTCCTCTCCATTAGCATACCTGACCCTATGCTGCTCAACTACGCCGGCGATGGCCATGGCAATGATCGAAATGACCAGACCTACCCCTATCCTCTGAAGCTCGCTTGGTGGCTTTGGCTTTCTTTTCATTAACTTGACATATAGTGGGAGTATGATGTTCTCGTAGCATATGATGAAGGTGGACGTGCTGATGATGTCGAATGATGTCATGCTGGCCGGAGGCATGTGAAAGGTTAAGATCTTGGTGTTCATGGCTGCTCCTTGTTCCACAAAGAGGGAGAGAACCTGGACGAACACTATGGACGACAATATTGTGCAAAGCCATATTGGGAGTAGTCTGAGCACACATTTCACCTCCTCCACCTGGGTGACTGTGCATATCCTCCATGGATTTGGAACTTCGGTTTTGTCTGGCAACAAAGTCATGTCTGTGGAGACCATGATCGCTGCTCGATCAAGAAACCTGTTTTTTGTTTGGATAAAAAGAAATATCAATTATCAACTACCATCACATTGAGCGTTTGTCATGTTTGTGATTTGTCGGGTTATGAGATAATTTTTAAAACAGAGTTCAAAAAAAGTGGATAGATGAGATCAAAGTAACCAACTTACTGAAAACCATCTGTATGAGAGATCCTTCTGTTACATTTATCAGCACTTCCATGAACTTCATACAACCCTTCTCCATTCAATGGAACTTGAAGCTTTAATTTTCTCAGAGAAGCCACAATCACCTGACAGAACCTGCACACAGGGTTCTTCGACGGCCGGATGTGACGATACCGATATGCCCCTGCGATCAACAAACTCAATGCAGCAAACCCACAGAAGGTAGATATCCAAAAGGCAAACACCCATTTCCCTAAAGTTTCCATATACACCAAAACTGTTTCTGCCACAAGGGACCCGAGGTTTAACGCAACGTAATAGTAGCTGTAGAATTTGGTCTTTGATCGGCTCTCCTCAGGATCTTCTTCGTCGAATTGGTCTGCTCCTAAGGTTGCCAGTACAGGTTCTATGGACCCACTCCCAATTGCTAGTAAATACATGCACACGTAGAACATTGCAACTTCAACCATTGATTGTTGATCACATACTTCTCCTATCCTTCCACACCCTTTTGGCACAAGCATGAACACGTGAGTTAGCAATGACAGTGCCACCAAACCCTGGAAAGTCAACCAGTTCACTTCAGGTGCTTCACATACAGAATGAATAGCTTTAAAATCATTTTTAGTCTCAGTTTTTCATGCTGTGACATCTCTGTCCCCCCCCCCCCCCTACATTCTAAGAATGCACACACAGAAGAACTGTTTCCCTAGTGGTTTCACTTAATTCACTAGAAAATCGTCTGCCAGCTGCAATTTATTATTAGGCATTTAGGCCTAACTCACCGTAAAGGATTCTCAAGAGGCGAGATATTTTGGCAAACATTTGGTGTGAAACGCTTTGCACACCTCCTCAGTTCAAAGCAGGCAGGACAACTTGATAGGTGGATAAATGGATCAAACTGACCCAAATTAGCGACCACAAGCAATGACCCAAATTATCATAAATTTCCGTGACTACACAAATTAACAAACAAATAAACCAATCTTAACCAGACCAGTCTGTGATGCCATATTAATTTAGGCCTCACTCATCCTAAAACGATTTTCAAGAGGTGACGGTTACCTCATACTTAAATGCGATTTAATTTAGATATTGATATGGTATACATACAACGTGGAACACTTTAATCATACAATGTGGAACACTTTAATCATACAAAGGAAAGGAAAGATGTGGGACACTTGACACAAATTTTGGGGGTTGGACCAGATTCGTGTAGTCTACAGCTCTCCTGCCATCCTGCGTAATGGGTATATTTTGAGACTACAAAATTTAAAAGTAAAAAGTTTCCATGTAAGAAGCATCTGAAATGGCCAGCATTAGGTGTCTAGCTTGAAAATACAGGACTACAAATTTCCCCGTCTTTGTTTAGAGATTTTCATGTCAAAGAAGGCCTCACACCTAAACAGGTCCTAGGCTGAGCAAGGCGGGATATTTAGAAGAGTATTGATAGAGTGCAACTTGACTTACAAAGTTCATGACAGCAAGGAAGATTATACAAGTGAGATATCTTCCCATGTAAGAATCACTGAGGAAAGCTCCTAAGAGGGAGAAAATGTAAAGGGTACCCATCCACCTGCTAAAGAAGTTGGCAGCATCTGCATTTGATTTTCTCATCACAGACTTGGAGAAAAGGACCATGTTCACTTCCACTCCTGTGAAAGCAAGTGTAGCCAATCCCTCACTGGCTGCATCAACCAAACAACATATTGATTATCGATTCAGTATTAAACATATTGTTTCAAGACCACTTGTTCTTGAACTGTTACTGCTGAACAATATTACATTGGTGAAATATAGTGCGGATCATAAAATACAAACCACACATTAGACATCGAGTACTCTTTCTATGTACCTAATATCAGGATTCCTGATCTCCATCCACCAGTTTTCCTCTTCAGTGCCGGTTTTCCGTGCCTATCTGTTGATCCATCTCCGGTGCATGAGTCCAAGAGCCTCATCTTCCCTTCCTGTTTTGGAGATGAATAGAACTATAGAACTTGACACATCAAGGAAAACTTTTATATTTATTAACATGAGAAGCAGCTAGTTGACAACTTGACATTGCATTTGTGGCTTTGGTTGACCCCATGACGCACGTAACGTCATATAATTTGGATTGATAATTATAACTTTTGACAACATTACCAAATTTCTACTATAATAAATTGCTGCAAAACATACATTAAACCATAGAGCTTATCCATTTTGCAGAGAACTTAATTAAAGCACCACCACCACCATCATTTTTGCCATGTTAATCTCAGTAAATTCATGTTGATCCTGATCAGGATTGTGGACATGAAACTTATAGTGCTAAATAAGATTAGTTAACACTGTATGTTCATGCTAATTGTAACGTTTTGGTTGGACACCATCCATCTGGAATCTTCTTATAAATTATAATACACAACGCGTCAATGCATTTACGGGGCTGGCATTGGACACAATGCATTGAATTGATTACAAGCCCAAAGCAATTAATTAATTCCCACTATTTTTGTTCATTTTTACTTGCTCCTTTTTATTATAATTTATAATTATTTGTGCCGTTTTTTGACAACTACTCTCATGTAAAAATACTACATCTGTCCCGAAATAATTATCTTGTTTACTCTTTTGACAATAATACATGGCTCATATTAGTTCACCTTTTCTACTCAAATCTCAATGACATCTTTTACCTTTTCAAACATTTTATTAAAACTTGTGCTAAAGTAAACAAGACAAGTAATTTAGGACGGAAGGAGTATGAGGTTTTTCATAAATATTGCTTAAAATAAAACTCATGTATAAGAGGTTGTATTTTTAGCCACCATCTAAATTTATGTCATATATATCTTTACTTCATCTTCTTTTAACTACCTTTAGTACCTTATACTACTTTTTTGAGCTCATTTGATAACATTTAAGTTGGTTGAATTGGCTCAATATGCTGAATTTGATGAAATTTTGGTTGAATCAAGTAATAATTAAATTTAAAATATACTATATTTACAGAATAAAGAAAAAAAAAAATGAAAATTAGTTAAAATAGTACTCTTCAACAAAGTGTTTCTAACCCTACTTATATTAACTATTACATGATTCACCATGTCTTCCATCATTTGCAATGAAGCCAAAGACTCATTATTTTTTGGTTTGAGATTATGATGGAATAAAGCAAAATGGCTCACTAAACTGTCTGCGCGTCTTTGTTATGAAGCAGCAGTCAGTCCATGCAATTTTGAACGGGATTTTCACTATGGGTCATCCGGAAACAGTCTCTCTGTGCTTTAGTACATGGGTAAGATTGCGTACATCCGACCTCCACTTACCCTCACCATAGGTGGGAGCCTTTTCGGCACTGGGGTAAATGAAAATGAAATGAAAATGACATGATTCACGATGTGAAATCAAAAGTTACGTATTTGATTTAAAAGTTGACTGATAATATTGATAGACCCAAAATCAGGATTATCAAACAGGCTCCTTAATCTTTCTTGCCATTTTTATATTATCTATACTATTTACTTTCATTATACTCTTAGATTTAG